CAAAACTCCAAAGAGGTAAATAAACATAGCATTTCTGATTGCTTTTGCCTTTAGGGCATTGGCCAGTCCAGAAGAACCCAATGGAAAAAGGAGCTGTGGCTTTGGAGGCAGTGAACACAAAGAGGAACAAAATTCAAAGTTCTGGGCCTATACAAAGTAGAAAGTTTACTAAACCATACTCAATATACATTAAGCTGGAACTCTAAGGGTTACACTTTCAGGGTAAGACTACACCAGAAATAGGGGTGCCTGGGTGGCTCAGTGGGTTAAAGCCTCTGCCTTTGGCTCAGGTCATGATCTCAGGGTCCTAGGATCAAGTCCCATATCGGGCTCTCTACTCAGCAGGGAGCCTGCTTCCCCCTCTCTCTCTGCCTGCCTCTCTGCCCACTTGTGATCTCTGTCAAATAAATAAATAAAATCTTTAAAAAAAAAAAAAAGCTACACCAGAAAGAGACTAGCTTTCTTGGTATACATCACCAAATAATCCAGGGAACTTCAACCTCTGAACTTAGGTTACATGATTGCTGGACTGATGGAGCTCAAGGTACCTTTCAGAAACACATAAATTCCTACCTGATGGCATCTTGTTATTCTGACAAGTTTTAAACTCTTAATGATTAGCACCCAGTCATGAGTCAGAAGCATGAGAAGCTACTGCTAACAGAAACAAACCCACCAAGATTTCAGGTATTACTGCTATTATTTCTAGACTATAGTTGACCCTTGAACAACATGGGTTTGAACTGCATAGGTCCATTTATACACAGATTTTTTTCAATAAATACAGTATAGTACAGGGGCACCTGGGTGGCTCAGTTGGTTAAGCGTCCAACTCTTGATTTCAGCTTAGGTCATGATCTCAGGATTGTGGGACCCAGCTTCGAATTGGGTTCCATGCTCAGCACAGTGTCTGCTGGAGAGTCTTTCCCTCCCTCTCTCTATCCCTCCCCCATACATACTCTCTTTTTCTCTCTCTCAATAAATAAAATCTTTAAAAAAAATATATAGTCTAGTACTATAGTTTCTCCTGATTTTCTTAACATTTTTTTCTAGCTTACTTCACTGTAAGAATACAGTATATAATACATATAATGTACAAAATATGTGTTAATTGACTATTTATGCTATTGGTACGGTTTCTGCTCAATAGAAGTCGTTAAGTTTTAGGGGAATCAAAAGTTATATGCAGATTTTCACCTTATGGCGGGGTGCTCCTAACCCTTGCATTGTTCAAGGGTCAACTGCATGTTTGCTATATTAAAGAAGTTCTAATTTAGAGCTTGAAAATGTTTTCAGGGAACAAAGAGCTATAAAAAGTGACATTGCGGGGCACCTGGGTGGCTCAGTGGGTTAAGCCTCTGCCTTCAGCTCGGGTCATGGTCTCAGGTCCTGGGATCGAGTCCCACATGCAGCTCTCTGCTCAGCAGGGAGTCTGCTCCCTCACCCCCCGCCTCTGCCTGCCTCTCTGCTTACCTGTGATCTCTCTCTGTCAAATAAATAAATAAAACCTTTAAAAAAAAAAGTGACATTGCTGGGAGACCCAGGTGGCATAGTCAGCTTAGTGTCCTACTCTTAGTTTCAGCTCAGGTTGAGTCTCAGAGTCCTGGGATCAAGACCTGTGACCAGCACCACACCCAGCTTGGAGTCCACTTAGGATTCTCCCTCTCCTCTCCCTCTTTCTCTGTGCACTCACACATGCACGCACACACTTGCTCTCTCAATTATGTCTTTAAAAATGTGACACTGCTGGTTTTAAAAAGAATCAAACTGAAATTATGAACTCAACTGATGAGTTTAGCAATAAATTAAAAGCAGTAAGTTAGAAGTGAGATTCAGTGACTGAGAAGGCAGACTGAAAACTATTATCCAGAATGTGACACAGTGAAACAAAGAGATGGGGAAAAAAAAAAGAGATGAGGTCTAACAGATACAATCAGAGACTCAGAAAGAGGAAAGAACACAGCAGAGGTAATATTTGAAGAGATAATGAATGAGACATTTTTAGAACTGAGGCATTAATCCAAAATTTAGAAAATGTTTGTCATAATGATGCTTGATGTAGGTGATAAAGACACCTTAATGAAACCAACTAAAAGAGATGGATTTTTTTTCCACTGACCATTTTCAAGATGAAACAGAAGAAATGTCAGAGATGCTGGAAGGAACTAAGAAAATTTGTCAAAAAACACTGACACCTAGGAATCAAATGGTAGATATTATTTTTTTTAATATTTTATTTATTTATTTGAGAGAGACACAGCAAGAGAGCACAAGCAGAAGGAGCAGCAGAGGGAGAGATAGAAACAGGCTCCCCACTGAGCAAGGAGCCCAACTTGGGGCTTGATCCCAGGACCCCAGAATCATAACCTGAGTTGAAGGCAGATGCTCTATCAACTGAGCCACCCAGGTACCCCCGTATTAGTAGATTCTAAAGTCTACTTATATACAATATTAGAAAGCAACATAAAATTTTAAAGCATCTGAGAGTTGCTTTTTCAAATAATCTTTAAAACATTTGAATATTATTATATGTTCACCATAATAATGAACCAGAATGGCTAGAGTGGTAGAAGAAAAGTAGAATAAAAGCATTTAGTGATAGCAACCTTCAGGACACTTATGCAAACACGTTTGCTGTTTAAGCAAAACAAACAGCAACAAACATCAAACATGATTTCCCAAAAAACAACTCAGTAGGTAAAACAAAGAAGCAGATAGTCACAGAATCTGAATTGTATCTGTCTGAAGAACAGATACAAGCTGCTGGTCTCTATTTAGCTTAACTCAGATCTCAGGCCAGAAAAGTGAGCAATGCTCAAAAAGACTGCAAACTTCAGGTGCCTGGCACAAGTTTACAGTAAAAAAATACACTAAATTATACACTGAAAATGGTTAAAATGTCAAGTTTTATGTTACATATACTTTACCATAAAATTTTTTTTTAAAAGAAAAGAGGGGAGAGAAAAAGGATCCAAACTAAAATTCCCAGTCTTCTAACAGGTTTTGATTTTTGTTGTTGCTAATGAATTATCTATGAAATTCCCACCAAGTTTTATTTCATACTCCCTAGGTCCTGAAATTTTTTTCCTTTTTACATTGACACCAGGCTATCCTCATCTGTCCAGTAATGCTATCCTTCTTATAAAATCTGCAGCCTAAAACCACTATTTCCCATGAGTTATTCTTTTCAGCTCTATCAAGATGTTCATTTTCTACAAGAAAACACAGTTCAATTATTACACTTTATGCTTTGAGCTTAAAAACAGCTGAATAGTTTTTCAGATATTTCTCACATTTGTTATTTAGATACAGATTGCTGTAAAGTTCTCCTTATTTTAGTTGAGCACATATGATTTCAAATTTTATGTTCTTTCAGATTCATCAGCTTTTCTAGGGTTTTCAGTTTTGAAATTATATGGCTGCCTTATAGCTTTAGCTTGAGATGCTAACCTTATATTATTTTAATTCAGGTGGATTAAGTTTTTTTTTTCCTAAATATATCTATATCTAGAAAATATATATCTAGAAATATATATATATATCTGTATATCTAGAAAATATCTTCTAGTTCTTATGGAAGCAGAATAGTCTAGAACCTATGACAGTGGCTTGCTTGACTTTTTTTTTTCAGTGTGCTTATAACATAAGTAATTGGAAGGGTAAAGATTTTGCTTTCTGTAAATACAGTACAGAAGCAATTAAAAAAAAAAAAAAGAGCACCAGCAAAAAGCAATTTCCCATTGAACCCAGAATGGCAAATCTTATCATAAGCCACTTCTGAAGGTAAAAATTAAAATTATAGTACCCATCAAGGCTTACTTCAGCTAGATGTCTTGGAGTTCCCAATTCCAAGTACAGCCAAATCCGAAAGTTAGATACCTAACTATGGATTATACCATATGTGATAGAATAAAAGTTCCTGTGAATTGATTTACTAAAAATCTGCAGGTAGTCTTTCCAGATCTTTAAAAAATCTATTTGTTAAATACTGATTATCCACTCTGTAAGTCTTTACTTTTCTCACACTAGTTTCTCAACCCGGGCACTATGATATTTGGGATGGGTACTTTGTTTTGCGAGGCTGTCCTATGGACTGTGGATGTTTAGCAACATCGCTGGCCTCCACCCATTAAGCCAGTAGTGTATTCTAAGCCAGCAGAGTCTCCCAGGTGTGACAATCAAAAATGTTTCCAGGTATTACTTGGAATTTGGGAGACAAAACAGACACCTGCTGTCTAGCTAGCTGTCATAGAAATTAAACTAAATTAGGAGGAAAAAACCTTCTAAATTATAGTTATTTCTATATAACAGGCATTAGAGCATTATTATTTTAATGAATTATGAATAATAACTCTATTCACACTAGACATATTTCAGTTGGATAGCCTATTTCCTACTCTATTAGTTTTGAAGATTAAATAAGATAGAAAGATTAAATAAAACAGAAGACAGAGCCAGATTAAGAAGTCAGTAACAGAAATTTTAAGCTGATTCATTTTTAAGTTACTGACATTTCAACAGATCCAACATTTTCTATGCATCTAGACACTATTACCTATATGATATAACATAATTGGAAAAGTCTTAGGAAAATGAAAACCTTTCAATATATTATTTTGGAATTCTTAGTATTTGTGTAGAGTTGTTTAGCAGATAAGTGTTATACAAAGAGAACACTAAGAGGTTTTACTATTATACCTTAATCATTCTTTTGAGTGTATGATTCTTAAGAAATGATAGTTTGTCTTCCTTTCCCTCTCATTTCAAATTAGAACATTCCTCTAAAAATTAAAAGTTGAGAGACTACTTTTGTGATATGCCCTTCCTCTGATACTCTTATAAAGTTTGAACCATGACCTTATGACCTATTTTCATTCCTCAACTATATGGCCAAGTAAACACAGTTTATGATTTTTTAAAAAATCATGGTATCAAATGTTTAATGGGCTGATAATCAAAGAAAAATATCCATCGTTTTTCATAGATAATAAGGTTCTTACCTACAAGCAACATTTGGATCAGCATTTCTTGAAAGCAGTAGCTCTACACACTTTAAGATCTGTTCCTCTGAGCCACGTGCACAACATGCAGTTATCAAAATAGTCTGCTTATCTGTAGTGAAAAGTGAGGAAACCACCCACACACATTAAGAAGTGAAGCTGACTTTTTTCATTCAAAAGATTCTAAATATTTACTGTACTCTCAAAATTTTATATCCTATTCCTAAATCTCTTACTCTTGGTAGATACATTTGTCTTCCTTCACCAAAAAATGAGATTAGGGATGAACTGCCTGAATCTCCAAAATGTATCTATATATCCAAATTATGTTTATATATCTATAATTCATTTCTTAATTTTCCTTCTTTGTTCCCCTTCCTTATTTTTTTTAAGATTTTACTTATTTATTTGACAGAGAGAGAGAGACAGCGAGAGCAGGAACACAAGCAGGGTGAGTGGGAGAGGGAGAAGCAGTCTTCCCTCTGAGCAGGGAGCCTGATGTGGGGCTTGATCCCAGGACCCTGGGATCATGACCTGAGACCAAGGCAGACATTTAGCGACTGAGCCACTCAGGCACCCCTCCCTTTCCTTTAAGAAAGTAGGAAAATGGTAAGAACATGAATGCTGTGTAGAGATACTGCCTGGAGTTGAATAGCCTTTGGTTGATTAAAATTCGCTTTGCTGAACTTGTGGTTGAAAAACAGTAACTGATGAGTGTCTGGGTGGCTCAGTCAGTTAAGCATCTGCCTTAGGCTCAGGTCATGATCCCAGGGCCCTGGGATAGAGCCCCACATTGGACTCCCTGCTCAGTGGGGAGCTTGCTTCTCCCTCTCCTGCTCCCCTGCTTGTGCTCTCTCTCTAAGATACATAAATAAAATCTGGGGAAAAAAAAAAAGGAAATTAAAAAAAAGGAATGTATAAAAAAAGAAAAACAATAATTGATACTCTCTGATTTCACTTCTTTATTTCTCATTCATTTTACATCTCAGTGAAATTTTGGTTTTTATCCAAACCATCCTACTGAAAATGACCTAACTGCCATATCCACTGGTTTCTTTTTGGTCCTTTTCTACTGGGTCTCTCTGAGCTCACCCTGTTTCCTAAAAACTTCTCCCCTTGGTCCCTATGGCACCAGAAGAAATCACAGATTAAAAAAAATAAAAACACTTTTCAGATAATAATTGGGGAATTCAAAGTAGGTCATGGCAGCTATGGTTTACATCAGTGATTTAATACTAATCAAGTATAAAGATTCTAATCCCAGTTCTGCTACTGATAAACTGACTCCAGTGATACCTTAATATCTCAGTAGATCTAGTTTATAGATAGGAAGCTGCCCTCTTTACCTGATGAGGCTAATGTTGAATACGTAAAAGAATTTATGTCAACATGCTGAGAACAATATAAACTGTTTTATAATTGTAAGTATTCCTCTGATTACAAAAATCAGAGAAAGAAAACTTCATTTTTTTAAAGTTTTTACTTAAATTCCAGCTGGTTAACATACAGTGCTATATTAGTTTCAGGTGTACAATATAGTGATTTAACACTTCCATACAATACTCAGTGCTCATCACAAGAGCACTCCTTAATCCCTTCCCCTATTTCACCCATCCCCATATCCATCTCTCCTCTGGTAACCACCAATTTGTTCTCTATAGTTAAGAAAACTATTAATTTTTTGGAGAATATTATATACTTTCAGAAATCTCATTCCTAAGTCCAGTTTTCATTGGGTAATATTTTAAAATGACATACTAATAAGAAAAACCTATCACAGAAGCAGATTAAACATAAAACTATTGGTAAGATGGTAAGTTATACAATATACATAGATGAAAAAACAGAAATATTTTTACAAACATCTAATGTAGGTACAAAATAAATGTAAAAATTAATTCTAAAGTGAAATCAATGTCTGAATTATGAAATGAATTTAACTGCCTATTGGAAACACATTAAAAATAAGTAAGCAATAATTCAATATAATAATTAAATGGGATTTGCACAAATATTCTTATTTTTTTTGAAAGCATCCAAAACAGTATGGAGTAGAAATTATCTAATAATAAAGAAACATATGGATTTAATAAGTTATCTTTGAAACAACCTTAAGTGATGTAATTCAGAGTTGAGTTTTAAATTCTAAAGACTGATTTTCAAGTAATTTTTGACAAAATTATTAGCTTTTTTTCTTTCAATGCATTTTTTCCTTTAAAAAATAACCAAACCCGGGGCGCCTGGGTGGCTCAGTGGGTTAAGCCGCTGCCTTCAGCTCAGGTCATGATCTCAGGGTCCTGGGATCGAGTCCCGCATCGGGCTCTCTGCTCGGCAGGGAGCCTGCTTCCCTCTCTCTCTCTCTCTGCCTGCCTCTCTGTCTACTTGTGATCTCTCTCTGTCAAATAAATAAATAAAATCTTAAAAAAAAAAAAAATAACCAAACCCTCTAGCATAGAAATTAAAGGTATATAAAAACATAAGCAATTATTAAGATAATATAAATGGAATCTACCTTCTTGGAAAGAGAATTTTTCCAAAAGAGAGACTATGGTTTTTAATTTGATTTTGTATCTTAATTACATAATATAACTAATAGGAAGATTTGTTTTTTAAATGGCTTTAATTTTTTTCATTTTGCACAATAGCTGCTTGGCAATCAAGGAAATCACAGTAAACATAATCAGCTGGGCTAACTCAACATCTTACCTTTTTTTTTTTAAGGACAAAGATTTATTTTAAAGGGAACATATAAACCCCCAAACAGATTATAATTAGGCTTCTAAACAGAGATACCTACAAAGTAAATACTCACATATTTTAAATGTTTAAAACACCTTACCTTTATCAAAGCTTGCATTAGCACCTCTGTCCAAAAGGACCCGAACCAGCTCTACATTGGAAACACTAGCAGCATACATAAGAGGAGTCCATCCATACCGAAAGCTGGAATCTACACTAATGCCTGTCAAGACAAAATGCAAGTTTTTTTTTTAAATGCAAGTTTTTAACAGCCTCTCCCACCAAAACAAAAATTACTGTCAATTTCATATGCTTAAAATACCATGGATAGTAACATATACCATGTAATTTATAACAAAAAGAATTTATTGGTAATAATGGCCTAGGTTTAAAAGGATCCACACAGTAAATGATCGTAGCTCAAAAACATTCAAAGTACACCATATGGTTTGGGGGTATATATATATATATATATATATACCTAATAAAAATAGAAGGACATGCATAGGAATGATAAATACCAAGTACAGCAGAGCGGTATCTCCAGGGGTAAGGAGAGAAACTGCTCTACCTTTTAGAATATCTGAAATATTTAGTAATTTAAAGAAAACTGAACATATTAACAGAAAGACTGGAGACATCCTTGAACTGTTAGAAGTGACCAACTCAAAGGGAACTTTCTTTTTTTATCAAACTTCTCAACTGGTGCAGAAATATGTATCAAAACCAAGAATAACTTTGGAAGATAAAAAACAAAATATTTTTTTAAAGTGTGAAATAATGACATCTGGAAGTAACCTAGGAAATGCTAAATTAAGAGTTACCTGTACAAGTAAGACTTCAGGGATACTGGGGGAGAAAGTGGGAACAAAGGTATCTTTCTTCTTCAGCTATATATTTATTATTGGCCTTTGAAAATGAATTTTTAAAATGTTTGTAATTAAAAATTTTTTAAAGGCGTGACTAAATATCTTCTTTACCAGTAGGTCTTTTCAAGTCCTAATCTGTCAGGAAACTCATCATTTCACTGCACTTAGTCCTACTACAAACTCAAGCCCCACGGTAAATTCTCTTTTCTAAAACAAATTTCTAACTATTCCATCCCATCCAGCACTATGCACACTCCTGCATGTGTTATTAGGTATTAAGCCTGTTTCAATTATTCAAATTTTATTTCATTTCATTCTTCAATTACAAACTCAAGTTCCATTGTCCACAAAGTCACACAGAACCTTCTTTTTTGTCACAACAGCGAATATTTACATAATGTCTGTATGTTTTAGATCTTTACATATTCTTTCATTTAAATACACCCCCAAACCTTTTGATATTATGCATCTCTATTTTAAAAAGGAGGAAATTAAAGTGTAGGAAAGTTTGGTAACTTGGGTCAAGATCACAGAGCCATCAGGTGGCAGGGTTAGTAATCAAACCCAGAACTGTACTGTCTCCAAAATGATTCCTTTTTGCACTAAACCATGCAATGTCTCTAGCATAAAAGAAAAACATTTTGGTATATACAATTTCATTTATCTATTCTGTGTGAATGTTTTTGATTTACAAATAGATAGTAAATGCCTGTTATGCCTTTGGATAATTTCAATCATTATTATCAACAACACACACTCCTACATCAGATAATTCAAAAAAATTAATATTTAATTTGATCACAGAAAAATGTTACAGGACCCTGGAAAGAATTATGACATTTTACAAAAAGAAAATGATGCTCTGGAAGTTTAAATGGCGTTCCCAAGAAACTACAATGAATAGGCAATAAAGCTGGAACAGATATCCACATATTGTGATTCCTACCTCAGGCCCCATTACACAGACACCTTGTACAAGGAAAGAACATAGCCAAAATATACATAACTAGAAACAATTCTGGAGAAACGTAATAATATTATAGACAGCAAATGCTGAGAAAAATGTGTAAGAATTACTGGAGTGGGGTAGGATTCATCAGAACAGGCTTTTTTTTTTTTAAGATTTTATTTATTTATTTGACAGACAGAAATCACAAGTGGGCAGAGAGGCAGGCAGAGAGAAGGAAGCAGGCTCCCGGCTCAGCAGAGAGCCGGATGTGGGGCTCGATCCCAGGACCCTGGAATCCTGACCTGAGCTGAAGGCAGAGGCTTTAACCCACTGAGCCACCCAGGCGCCCAGAACAGGCTTCTTGAAGGAGGTAGAAAAGATGGAAGCAACAGGGTGGCATTCCAAATTTGAGAGTAAAAGAAGAAAGTAAGGCAAAGAGAACTCAGAGCCAAGTAAGGTATACAGAATACTTGATACATTAACATTCATTGTGCTTTCACTAGAAAAACAACCCAAATCCTTTAAAATAAGGGACCCTCAGAATGTAGACAACTGTGTTAGGTTGAAACTATTTTTATCTCTCACCAGAATCTAGGAGCTCCTGGACCAATGAAATATCTCCTGTGGTCAATGCTTTTTTAAATGTTTCATTCTTTTCTTCAGGGAGTAATGGCCCTTTTAATTTCTAAAAAAAGAGAAAGTTTAAAAAAAACTGTTATACATATTTTCATTTCCACTCCATCAGAAAACAATGATTGACTTCAGGTCCATCATCTTTTTGGGGGACATAGGAGGGGGGGTGTAACATACAAATCTCATAAGTAATTCATGTCTAAAATTATCTTCAAAGGGAATGGGTAATACCATGGGTCCAAACCCAAGTGAAGCGCTACATCCACGACCTGAAGAAGCACATTTTGGTGGGGAAAGCACAATAGGAAACAGAAAAACTCAGGGTTTGTTGGGAGTCTAGAAGCCTGTATTTCCACTAGGGAAACACAAGAAAGCAAGAAATTTCGGGTCAGGCCAGGGGGTTGCTGATACAGGTGCGGTCAAAAAAAAAAAAAAAAAAAAAAGGCCTCCTGGGCTACCTGAACCGCCCGGTCGAGATAACCAATCTCCCAGCCGTCATCCTCGCTCTCGCTACTCTCGCCTCCACCGGCCACTGCAAGCCCGCGTAGCGTACCCATCGCCATGCCCGCCAACCTCTCTCTAATAAAACAGCACCGCCCACTCCCCTGGCGCCTGCGCACTCGGGGAGCACGCACGGTTGCGCGGGAAGGAACGTGTGCGACGGCAGAGGCCTTGGGACTTGAGGCGCAGGCGCGTGGGCATGCGTAGTAGACCTCACCTACCCTCCCTGTGGTATAGGACAGTGCAACCCTGCGTAGTAACATGGTAAGGTCCTTAGAACTGAAGCGCTGGAAGGCTTGGGTGCCATGCTTCTGGTGAGTGCTTCCGGTTCTTTTCAGGGACTTACTCATTCTTTTTAGGTTGTTTGTTGAAGTTTTTGCTCTTCAAGGAATGCCGCACTTTCGTTGGAGCATAATGGGTATTAAAATGCCAAGTAAGACTATGCTTTCTCAACTCCTTCATCTGCTCCCTCGGAAAGCCTGTCAAACATGCGACCCCTGGGAAAGGGGCAACTCTTGGTCAGAATGCAGATAGGAGCGCTAGCCTCGCATTCAAAAAGCGGTCAAATGGGAGCTGACAAAGGAGCCAGCAGAAAATACCATCCCAAAGGAAGAATTCTTCCTTTAATTTTCATGTGACCTCAGATCTCAGATCTGGAAACTTAAAACCATCAAAACACTTTCCCAGCTAGACACTATGGATGCCCTAAAGGAAAAAGTCAGTCAGCAAAGGGGGAGTTGGGGAGAGAGTGGATCAAAGTGCTAGGAAGAAGAAATCATTGAAACATTCAGAGAGCAAGTAAATAATACAAACAACTCCAGGTGAAAGCCGCCCGACCTCAAACTGGCTTTTCTGCATCTAACTTCTGGATGAAACGGTAACACATTATCTTTGCCACAGAAAAGTAGATCCATCAAGGAATAATGCACGTTTGTATCCCTCGAGATGATTGTTTTAAAAAATTTTATTTGACAGAGAGAGAAAGAGAAAGAGGGAGCACAAGCAGGGGGAGCAGTAGGCAGAGGGAGAAGCGGCTCCGGGTGGTTCAGGGAACCCCAAGCCGGCTCCATCCCAGAACCCCGGGATCACGACCTGAGCCACCCAGCGTTCCCCCGCCCACAAGATGATTTAGAAGGAAGAGACGTACACCATTCTTTGAAAGTTTTTGTAGTACTTTTTTTTTTTCCCTTAGGGAACCTCCAATGTAAGATTTTGAAATTATTTCCTTCAGATAATTTAACAAATAAGTAATTTAAGTAGTTTGGTTATTTTCGGCCCCACCTTGTGTTTTCTAAGTGCATTCCTTCAATAAATGTTATGAATCGTTGTGTACAACCAGGCACAATTAGGTTTGGGGAGACAACATCAAAGATAAACCAAGCTGCCTCAAGGAGCTCACATTTTAACCAGGAAAGACAATAAGCAAGTAAACAAATAAATAAGGTTATTGCAAATTAGAGGTGCCACAAAGGAGATAAGTGTGCTGGGTTTCTGGAATCACACCACTTAATTTTCCCATCCAAACCAATTACTGTCATCAGCTCTGTGCCCTCTAGCAATTTAGCCTCTTATGTTTCACTTATCTAATCTGTAAAATGTGCCTGGCATATAGCATTGTTTGAATAAAGTAAAGTAATGGGCTTGGCATAAGGTTAGTCTCAATGTAAGACGTAAATAAATTTTAGCTACTACTATTATTGTTACTATTTTAGATAAAGTAGTTAGATCTGAGTAGAATTCTGAATGACAAGGAGCCAGCCATAAAAAGTGAGAAAGCAGAGCTTTCCTGGCAGAGGAAATGGCTAGTACCAAGGCTTGAAGGCAGGAAAAAGCTTGCACCCAGGCCTGAAACTAAGGTGGACAGGTCAGACTTCTTTAAGCTGGTGGCATCAAAGGCAACCATACTGTTTTGCATCATGAGCAAAATTTAAGGAAGCACTTCCTTCAGGATGGACTTGCAATTCTTTATTTTGTATCTAGGCACCTTCCTTACTTCATCTTCATCATTGCCCCCCTTAGACCAGAAAGGAGGCGTGAGGTTGGACCATCATGAAGGAAGGGGTATGTATCGAGAGGACCTTATGGAATTTAAGTAATTAGTTTGGATTTTACTTTTTAAGAACAGTATAACATTAAATATTTTTCAGCTGGGGCACCTGGGGTGCTCAGTGGGTTAAGCCTCTGCCTTCGGCTCAGGTCATGATCTCAGGGTCCTGGGACTGAGCCCCACATCAGGCTTTCTGCTCAGCAGGGAGCCTGCTTCCCCCTTTTTCTCTGCCTGCTTCTCTGCCTACTTGTTATCTCTCTCTCTCTGTCAAATAAATAAATAAAATCTTAAAAAAATATATTCTTCAACTAACGGAAGACATTCTGGTGTGTGTGTGTGTGTGTGTGTGTGTGTGTGTGTATTTGAAGACACACTCTTTGGTAAAGAAGGTTTTTAGTCTGAGCATTTGGCTAATTAGTGGTACCGTTTACTAAAATAGGGAAAGACCAGAGGATAAACTTGAAGATGAAATGAGCATCTCAAAATTAACATATTCAAAGTGAAATACTGAAGTGTAGTTGTCATGTGGGTAGTTAGATGTTCAAGTATGGAGCTCAGGAGAAAGACTGGTCTTAGAGATATAAATTTGGGAATTATACTCATATTGTTATTGTGTATACATATTGATTACAAATAATAATCAATATACATGTTGTTTATTAAAAGCAAGATTTTTTTTTGTAAATATACATTCTTTAGATTGAGTGTTTGTGTTTCCTTTCCCCTAAAATTCATATATTGAAACCTAATCCCCAAAATGATGGTGTTTGAAGGTGGGGACTTTGGGAGATAATTGGGTCATGAGGGCAGAATTTCATTAATGGGATTAGTGCCTTTATAAAATTATGAGACCCCAGGAGTTCTCTTGCCCTTCCCACTATGTGAAGACACAACCAGATTCTCTGTGAACCTGGAAGTGAGCTCTCACCAGACGTTGAATCTGTCATCACCCTAATTTTGGATTTCCCAGCCTCTAGAATGGTGAGAAGTAAATTTCTCTTATTTATAAGTCATCCAGCCTGTGGTATTCTGTTACAACAGCCCAAATAGACCATGACAATAGATAAGATAATTCCAGAATTTATGTGGAAAGGCAAAGGAACTAGATAGCTAAAACAATTCTGAGAAAGGAATAAAGCAGGGGAAATTTCTTAACTTGATTTTAAGTCTTACTATGTAGTTACAGTAATCAGGACTGTGTGGTATTGAAGAAGGGATAGACACATAGATCGATAGAACAGAACAGAGAAGCTGGAAATAGACCCACACAAGTAAGACCAAGTGATTTTTTACCAAGGTGCAAGAACAATCCAGTTAAGGATCTTTCTTAACATCTTCAACAGATGATGCTGGATCAACTGAATATCCATAAGTTAAAAAAAAAAAAATGAACCTATCTAACCTTTTATGTCTTCTATTAAAATTAACTCAAAGTGGATCATGAACACAAATGTTCATAGTACATTATTCCTGTTGGCCAAAAAGTGGAAACAACTCTAATGTCCATCAACTGATGAGTGGATAAACAAAATGTGATATCCATACCATATATATTAGTTTCCTAGAACTACAATAACAAATTACCATAAACTAGGTGGGTTAAAACAACAGAAATTTATTTTCTCACCATTCTAGAGGCTAGAAGTCTGAAATCAAGGTGTCACCATCACCATGCTTTCTGTGATGATTCTAGAAGATGATCTGTAATTGTGAACTGGAGAAGAATAGGAAAAGTGGTGAGGAGAGGATGCATTCAAAATTTTTCATGAATTGGAATCAATAGTATTCAGGGACTGTGTAAGAAAGATGAGGGGGAGAGAGAAGTCAAAGCTGATGTGGTAAGAAATCAGGAAGAAGAAAACTTTTTGCGGAAACAGATAAGTTTTGTTCTGCACAGAGAAAGTCTGAAATGCCTGAGGAATATCCATGTCCAGATAAGGTCAGGAGCTCCCTAGGGAGGCCTACACTATCAATTCAGCCTTAGAAATCATCTTCCTAAGAGGTGATAATGGACATATTAGAGCATTGGTATTGCTACAGAAGGGATAGGATGAGATGTTCAAAGGATCAGGAATATATTCTTAGAGAATGACTGTTCTTTTGGGAAGTCACCAAAGAAAAGGAAGCAACAAAGGAGACTGAGAAGTAATAATCTTAGAAGCAGAAGACTAGGAAGAAATCAATGTCTCAAAAATCTTACACTGAATCGTAGCCTAAAGATACAGCAATAATAACAATAATGATAATAAATTCATTTTATTGTACTTCCTTTATGCCAGTCACTGTTCTAAGGGCTTTACTTATACAAAGTCACAGCCCTATTGGGGTACATACTATCTCAGTTTTACAGAAGGGGAAATGGAGGCACAGAGAGGCAAAGTCATCTTCTCAAGGTCATCTACCTGGCAGGACTGGGATTCTAACTCAGGAAACAGCTCTGCAGTGCATGCTTTTAGTTATTAATTACTATCTAATACTGATGTAGCTCTTCCCTGTGCCCTGACACTCATCTAAACATTTTATAGCCCTTAATTTGCATAATCCTCACTGTAACTTTTTGAGGTATGTATTACTTTAACCCACTAAGCCACCCAGGTGCCCTGAGGTATGTGTTATTTTATGTGCTATTTTAAAGACACGTTATACACTATGTCTGTTTTATAGTTGAGGAAACTGAAGCGCAGAAAGTTTATATAAGCCACCCAAGATCATGCAGCTGCTAAGTGGGATGATCAGAATTCACACTAGGCTCTCTGGCTTGAGTGGGAAATTGATGCCCACAGCAGCACTCTCGCCTTGAGGGGTTACACGTTTTGGCCGTGGGTTTTCACTTTCACACTGTAGTGCTCCTTTCCCAAGCTGATTTCATCTGACTAATAAATCAGACTCAGGATAAATGTTGACTCATTTACAGGTTAATCACAGGCTTCATTCCTGGACAGATAAGAAATCAGTGATTTAGTTTTGTCTGAAGTGATTTGGGAATTCCCCCAGGGTGACTTCCTGGAGTGGGTCA